GTTTATATATATTTATGTGTAATTTTCTCTATATCTTCCAAATTAAATATTTAAATATCATAAAATTTTAATATGTAGCTTTTTAATCTAATAATATACACTTTTAAAAATTTTGAACCAAAAATTCGACTGAAAATTTAAGCTATGGCTTCATTGGTACTATCAACAAAATGACTCACTTATTGCCTTTGAATTAAGTGTATGGTCTTCAATGTACTACAACTCCTTCATACAAACTCCAAATGTAGCAATTTTTTACAAAAAATATAGATTTTAAAATTATTCTGGCAATTGAATCTCTTGATTTCCAAAAGCTATTATAAAACTCTTTGTATCTTCAAAAGAATAATAATATGTCTTAAAAAGACACCTTAACTTCAAATGGCTATAATTTCATCAGACTAATTCCAAGTCTTTTAAAATTTGTATATAAATTGTAGTCCAAATCCTAAACCTTGAAATCCTAACTTTTGATTATCAAATCTCCTTTTGGAAGTCTCCAAAATCTTTGTAATAGTTGCAAAAAACCTCTTAAGATCCTATTGGACATGGCTTTTGATCAATAATGATGAAGATCTTGACTCCTTGCCTTCATCTTTCCATACCTTACATTTATCTCTCCAAATAAGTTTCTTAGAGGTTTAAATTTTCATATTTAAGCCCCAATTTTTTCCTTACGTTTTACACTAAAATCTAAATCATATATAATTTAAAAACTATAATCAAAATAGACAAACTTTGAAATAAATTTTCTTACATCAATTTTCTATAATTTAACATACAAATTATTCTAATGCACATCAATAATTATAAAAATATTATCTATTTTAGTTAATTTTTATATACTATAAACAATTATAATACAACAACATAGAAAATCAAAGCCACATATATGAAGCTTCTCAATAAGATATTATCTACTATTATCAATATCTATCTAATGATAAAGATAATCTTAAAGATGGAGAGTTTTTAATCTTCAAAATACAACAAAAGAAGTGAAATACTCTACTTACTTCTAAAAAAAAATAAAAAAACCATGCTTTAATACTCTTGTCAAATTATCAAAGATATGAATTAAAATGAGAAGAACCTCAAAATATTCTTCTATAATTTAAGAAGTATAAATATTCACTCCAAAAATAATATAATATTAAGATTAAAATAGCTATTACGAAAGACAAAAGAGTATAGACTTTTAAAACTATACTAAGAATAAAAAAGGCATTGACAAAAGTGAAGAAGGCTTCATTCCTACCTCTACATATATTATCTATATATGAGTTATATAACAATGTTCTATAAGACCTCCGACACATGTTTTAACTTACAAGGCAAGTTTTCTATATGTGCGCCATTTTTTTTAGCTTATATCACAAACTACCAATACATATAATATATGATTAACTTATTGACTAAGTTTTCAACCTACCAATTATTTATAGATATGTGTAAAGATGAAACTACATCTATGAAACTTTTAACTTAATAATTAAAAGATATACAAATTTTGAATAAAAATCTATATTTAAATTATTAATCATTAATTTTTTAATTTATTGTAGATTAAGTATTTATTTAAAATTTAAGAATTGATTAGGATTTCATTAAGGTTTGATTTAGTATTTAGGATTTGATTAAGATTTGTAAGTCTTTAGAAACAATGAATTAAAAAATTCGCTATGATGGATCACTTATGGATATTCAAGTCTAATCTTTTAATTATACAATTAAAACACCTAAATATGACAAACAAGATAATTAAGATCTATACATCTTATATCAATACATATCTTGGTTAAATTCAAAATTTTATTTTTAAATACATCAAGTACTATATCTAGTCAAGGATATATAAAATCTACTTTTCTAAGAAATCAAAACTTATAATTCTAGATACTTAGGATTTTAGATTTGATTTTTAGAATTTTAATCCTATTAATTAAATCTAAAATATAAAAATATAATCTAATACTCATTATTATTGTGGTATCAACACAAAAATCTTATCTCATAAACACTTATAACTTCATAAGTTATACAAATTACCACATCAAATGCTAAATTATAACATCTTTTTTACATCAAATTATATTTAATATTTTGTTCATATGCTTTATTTAATTTTCTCTTATTACATTATTCTCTATTCATGAATATATAATATCATATTTTTACTCATTCATCTTCTATTCTATACAAGTTTTTGAACTCATTAAGTATTATCATCCTATAGTAATCATAGTTTTATTTCTTGTCAAAATTTCCTTAATTATATGCAATTGATCTATATTCTATACAAAAATACTACTCATGTAAAAGCAAAACAATGCATTTCTTAAGTTTTTATATTTTTTTTTTCAATACCTTCATATTTTTCTATATATTATCACAATCTAACATAAATATTTGTTGTTATTAATATTTCATATCACAAATATGTAATATTTAATCACTCACAATAAAAAATGGTCATTGCATTTAAATTACTCATTAAATATTTATATATATAGATTTGTTGGAAGATATATCACTAGCAACTTTTTTCCATCTTATAGGATCCAATGTCTATACCATCAATGTTTTCTTCATACAAGAAATATTACAATATATCCCTACATTTTCTATCAAATACATTCCTAATACACCAATATACACAAGCTATTATATCAACCTTAAAACCTACTTCTCAAAACATCAACCAGTATGTATTTTATATATTTTACAAAACCTCAAATCTTAAGCAACAATACTAACCATGTCTTTCAATATCAATTTAACACAAAATTCATGGTCTTGTTTTGAATTGACGGCTTTTATTAGTCTTTCTAGATGGTTTTTTTAGGCAAAACAATCTGAAGAGAGTTATTTGTATTGAATTCTTTGTGCACTAATAAAGATATTATAAGCATCCTATCAATAGCAATGTGTGTAAAGTTGCATGAAGCTAGAAAACTATAGTTACAAAAGTGTAATATGCACATTTAGTTAAGAAGTATTGATATGCTTGAATTTATGAGAGGGAAACAAAACTTCTTTCTTTGCATAATCTTTAATGGCAAAAAATATAATCTAATTTTGTCCAAAGGTGCCAACTAAATCCAAGGCAGCTCAAACTGGATCAAGTTATGAAGTTTCCTAACAACCTCTATACTTGCCATCACTCCATGAAACCTTTGAATAGCATGGAGAATTATAATTAACTTGCATCATTTGTGTTATAAACTTATTGTGGCCAACATTGTACCTAGTTTCAGTATAACTACAGCTGTTTGAGGCACTATCATCTTCTTCAACACACTTATAACTTAGCAACAATCATTGGAATATTGGTGTGCATTCATATTCTAAAAGCTAGTGCAAGTTTCAACACCAAAGACATGGTTGTTGCCTAATCAGTAATCCCACCATTTTGAATGGCTCTAAAACACTTCTTCCTTGCTCGATCAATACATAGGCATTCTTTAACCTTACATCAAAGGTAGAGAGAATAATCAAGTTTATCTTTGATTCAATAAAAGGCACAAAAAATTCCATCCAAAAAATTGGAGCACCAAAAACTAGTTTTAGAACTGTCAAACTAATATTTGGTAATATAAGTTGAGCTTGCTTTGACTCCACTCAGAGATGAGTCAGTCCATGAATCCATCCATTTGTCTATTAGGGAGGGTGATGATATCAAATACATCCACTTCTTAATTGCAAAGGTACAAAAAATATTGCATCCTAACTCCTGCTTATCAATGTATGTGAAAATTATTAGATAAGGCTTAATATTAAAAAATTAATATTAAAATAAGTCTTAAAATTAATTAGTAGTCCATAATTACATAGTATTTATGAATACTAAATTCTATACTTTTATAGAAAATATTACTATCAAATTAAATTATACTTTATGCCTTGATTTTCTACATGTTAAAATATTTAATTAATATGAGTATTTTTTAAAAATTAAATTAAATTAATGACTAAAATTAATATTTTTTTAATAATTTTAAAAAATTAAGATGTATCAATTCTTGTCATGGACATACACATGTAAATCAATAATTATCTATATGATTAGATAGAAGTAGGTAAAAGTAGATAAAAATAAATTAATTCCAAAGTATCTTTTATAGAAGCTTTTTAGAAGCTTCATAGATACTGCTTTGACTTTATACGTGTCTATAATTGACTTTTTAGATTAAAAACATAGTCAACAAGTTAGTCATATGCCACACATGTTGATAGCTTGAAAAATAAGCTAATTATGTGACATACACATAGAAAACTTGCTTTGTAAGTTAAAGCATGTATCTTGCAAAGTCAACACATATTAGAGGTACTATAGAACATTGCCATGAAGCTCCTAGTTAGATAGTATATATAGAGGCAAGAATGAAGTCCTCTTCATTCTTGTTAATACTTTTCTTGCTTCTAGTCTAGATTCAAGAGTCTCTAATTTCTTTGTCTTATGGCAATAGTCATTCCAGTTTCTTTTTAATATACATATTTCTTTATTTCTATTTTGTTCTACTTGTTTATTTACTTTCATCAAGTTCTTGTCTCTAACAATTCTATTTATTGAATACTAAATTTAAAATTTTAACATCTTAAAATTACTATTTTTATTTAATATAAAAATCTTTCAAATTTTTATAAAAAAATTATAAACATAATTAAAATTATCATGTATACATCTTCTAAACCACAGAATAGCATTATATTCTTAGGTTTATTATAAAAAAAATCTCTCATCACCCTAAAATAAATCACATCTAATATATATATTTTATAATAAAAAAATATATAAATCCTAGCTTTATGGACTGTTTCTCTACAAAAAATTGAATTTAACATAAGCAGGTGAGGGTGGAGAAGTAGTTCCGGCCACATCCCTTTACATGACAGGAAATACTTCGGAAGAGCAGCGTCCTCCAACCTAATGTTCAATTAACGGGGTCATCTCCTTTAAATTCAGGTTTTAATTTGGGGTCCCTCCGGGGGTGGAAGGAGAGGGCTACGCCTGCCAAGGAGGTAGTGCAATACCAAGGCAACGCGCCCCGGCCCGGTCAGCTAGCTGCCGGATGGACCTGCACCCGAGAAAAATTAGATTAATATCATGCAGCTCGATGAGCCTCGTATCAGATTTTTAACTGATATGAACAGATACTACACTTGTTCACAGCCAAAAGGCTGAGAAAGGTATACCTCCACCCCTCCGCTCCGCTCCTCTTATACCCCATCCTCCCCCTCCTCCTCCCCCTCCTCCCGCACTCCATATGGGACATGCTGCAACCATGTCGTCGTCCTTCTGCCATCCCCTTCTCCTCCACTCCCCTGCTCACTGGGCACTGAAACCCCCTGCCCATCTCACGTCCCCACTGCAAAATCATTGTTCTTTTTCTTTCTCCCCGCGATGCGATCATGTCATTCCATGGGCTTGTGGATCTTGTCACACCCACAACCTCTGTCGTCGCGCCTGGAGCTTCCGTATCCGCCTGCATTGCCTGCTTTCTCCTCCCTGTTAGTTAGTAACGCTTGCTGCTGTCTTTTCTTTCCACCGCTGTTGCACCACATTCAGGATTGTGCGCTGTTGCTTCGCTCCTCGACCACCCGCCATTGCTTTCACGCATAAATAAGGACCCCCTGCGCTGCACGTATGCCCCTCCATGCACACAGGAAGCACCCTTTTTAACGCTGTCCCTGCTACACATGTTCCGGGACACATTCGGAGCGTGGAATCTGTAGGCCTTCGCCGAGTGGCGCGGGCGTATCTGCACATACTCTTCTGTTGGTGTTGTTGTTGTTGTGCTGAGGGAACCACTGCACCTTCTTCAGTAACACACAAGACTAGTCAATTCTGCCCAGAGGTGTTACTCCAAGTCACTGCCCGCAGGAGTTAGGATGCAATGTTCCTCGCACCTGTGTGATCAGGAAGTGGGTGTCTTCGACGTCGTCACACTCTCCCTATCCAATTCCCGATTTTTGGACCTCGCTGAGCTCATTTTCGCATTCTTTTTTGACGACCACCTACAGTGGCGGCGATCGTATCCGCATGATTTCAGAGAAGCAGAGAAAAAGCATGATCCGAGATTCGGAACTCCATCGGAGAGTCTTGTTTTCAGTGAAAGGTATGCATGCCAACCTGAGTTGGAGGGAAAGTAGAAAGAATGACACAAGTGTATCATGCTTACGGGAAGGGCTAGTAACGGATCGTTGACGGACCAAAAAATCGGGACAAGTGGTACCGCTAAGGAAAAACTACACCATAATGTGAACAAGGTGCATCCACGAGTCCCAAACAAAGCAACAGGTCAGTTCCTCTTAGAAACACAGATGTGCCGAACGACGCACATGAAATTCGAGACCTAAACAGATGAAGACCTGCGAAATGTAGGATCTGGATTTCATGAAACGGATCGAGACACATCGCATTGAAATGGAGGTTTCGCGAAGTGCCTGGAGATTAGAGTACGAGAACTATAGAATGCAAGAATGAGCTTCCATGAGGAGGAGTGCAAAATGGAAGTGAGGTTCCTCGATACAGTTCTGAATCGGAAATAGTCTTAAGAGTAATTGGTTACTACCTTCACTGCTAATGAAATACATATATGCGAATGAATGTGTAAACATAACATCACCGTAATATTTTTTAATTATATCCGTGTTGTGAAATAAGATGAATTTTCAACAGGTTATTATTATTACTTGACACATTTGTAGAGGATGAGACTGTTATTGGTTTCCTCCTTGCTACTTCAAATCTTTTGATGTTTTACCTTTACTTGGAATCCTGTAATAGAAATATATATATATATATATATATATATTTTTTAAATTTTGATAATGATTTTAGATCTTATGTTATTTCAACATTATTAGTTAGCAAGGACTTGGAAGCATGAAGAATGTGAATTTTCTGTAGTCTTTTATTATTTTTTTGAAATGTATACATGGAGAGATTGACATGTAAGTGTAAATAGACACAAGATTTATTGTTGTCAAACACAACTAACTCAGGAGAAATCTTGAATTTCCTATTGGAATATGAAATTTAATAGCAGTTTAGGAATTTTTAGCATTATTAGATTGCACCTTCACAATAACAAAGATAATTTTTTGTACTAGCACTTAATAATTGGTATATAAAATTTTTTGAATATTAAGATTAAATTGGTTGTAATAAAAGTTCTTTACAAATCAATTTTTTTTTTATTATATTTGACATTCAAATATTTACACATGCATTGTATAGAAATTTTTAACCTCAATTTATTATGAAGCTAATAAAAGCTTAAAAATAAATCAATTTAAGAATTTTTATATTTAACTAATTACATCATATATAGATTTTAATATATTTTTATCTTCAGTAATTATTTGTAATTTATAAGCTTAATTTATATTATTTTTATACATATGTATATATAAGTATATTTGGTTTATTTAAAAAAATTATCAAGTTAGAATTATTTTTAATTTAATTATATTTTTAAGTATATATATATATATTTATAAAATTTCATCAAATTCATATATTCATATAATTCATCTCTTTGAATATTTACTAGATGCTTGCACAATATATTTGCTATAGTTTCAAATAAAAGAATAAGGCAAGAGATACATTAAATGTACCAATAAAACTCTTGAATTAATATAGATATTTTTTTGGCCTTGCACCAAATTTTTTTTTACAATTAAATAATTTGGTGCTCTTGTTCTTTTTGAATCTCTTCATATCTTATCTTTGCATCTTAAAGGATGTGGATTGAAAAAAATCACAATAAAGTGTTATTCATTTTTTGGGTGATTTAAAAAGAAAGATACACATACAGTGACAAACAAAACCGAGTACAAAATCTGAACACTTATAGTTCATTGATCCTTCTAACTGACACATAAGTCAATTGATAGAATTACTTTTTTATTGTGTGTATTCATCCAGTCCTCTACATGGATGAAAAATCTCATTATCATTTGAGGTAGAGTTTATGAGAAAAGTGTTGTAGAAGCACACAGACGTGCGTACTCAGTTTTGATTGCTTCTTCTTGCTGAATTTCGAAATTTCAATGTACACTCCTTGTTGCAAGATTTGAGGGCATTTTTTGTTTGTTGTGTTGCTCTTGTTGTGTACTATCTATAGTGAAAGTTGATTTGTCAATTGTATCTCTATGCCTCGGTTGTGTGAATCATTGAAGCACCAAGCATTGGTGCAGCTTAGGAGTGGTGTTTCTACAAGAAAAGTTGCAGACTCACTTGGAATGAGTCAGTCTTTAGTAGCTCATCTGAGGAGGGAGATTAGTGGTGAAATAGAAAAGCAAAGAGGAGGACGTCCAAAGGTTTTAGGAGAGCAAGAGAAGCGACTTGGTGTACACCTTGTCACTGTTGGTTGTCTCAAAACGGCAAGTGCAGCTGCAAAACAACTTCGAGAAAAAACAGGTAAACACTTCTCAGACATCACCTTGAGGCGTGGTTTGAAAGAAGCTAGTTTGGGTGCTTGTGTGCAACAAAAGAAGCCTCTACTTGCCAAAAGACATGTTCTTGCAAGGTTGAGTTTTGCTCATAAATACAAAAATTAGACCGTTGATGATTGGAGACGGATTATTTTCAGTGATGAGACAAAGATTAACCTAATCAACTCAGATGGTAGGTCTTGGTGTTGGTTGAGAGAAGGAGAACGACCTGGACCTAAACATGTTAGTCAAACTGTCAAACATGGTGGAGGTTCAATTATGATTTGGGGTTGTATGACTGCTTTTGGGCCGGGCGCTTGGTATCAAATTGAAGGTAGAATGGAGCAACACTTGTACAAAAAAATTTTAGAAACCTACTTGCAAAGTACCACATAGAAATACAACTTAGATCCTACTAAGGTGGTTTTTTAACATGATAATGATCCCAAACATATAGCAAAAAGTGTTCAGTTTTGGCTCTCTTCATAGCCATTTCAGCTCCTTCGATGGCCAGCTCAATCTCCAGATTTGAATCCAATGGAACATTTTTGGGCCCTTCTCAAACAGCGTTTAAGCCAAGTCACTCCAAGGCCAAGAATTGTTCAAGAATTGTGGGAGAATGTTTATAGTATTTACCCTAGTTTTGATGCAAAAGATTGTGAGAAACTATACAAAAGTATGCTAAGAAGGATTTCAACTGTTTTAGAAGCAAAAGGATATTGGACTAAATATTGAAGTTTGAAGATTTTCTTTGAACAATACTGAGTACAAGACATAGTTGTTGATTTGACTTTATAGAAGGATGTTTAGTTATCAATTTGATGTGCAACTTTGTACATGTGTACAAGACTGTGTGTATTATTCCATGTAACTTTCAGATTTATAAAGCAATCATTGAAATTTCTGTAATTGCTCTTGAAAGTTGGCACTTCAGATTTTGTACTCGATTTTGTTTGTCACTGTATACACAATTAAATCCTTAAAATTAAAAAAATTCTAAACTTTAATTGAAATTTGAAATTAAGATAATTATTTTAGAAAAAGAAAAAAAATTATTAAAATATATTATTTATCTTAGAGATTTTAAATTACATCCACAATAAATAACTATTATATAATATTTTATACTACAATAGATATTATTAATTATACATACATATATATATATATATATATATATATATATATATACATACATACATATATATATAATCTCTATTTCTTAAGAAGTAATAGATTATCTTACTTTCTATAAAAATAATTAACTATTTTTTATATATATGCAAAAGTATCTTAGTTTATAATAAGAAAAATATTTAAAGAGATTTTTAAGGCTTTCAACAATTTTTAAGGAATAAAAACTATATATATATATATATATATATATATATGTATTATAATATTAAATTTATCCATGTTTTTATTAAAAAGACTCATTTTTTTATTAAGAATATATTAATCATTATGAATGTAGTCGGTTTTTATTGGTTGCAAATCCAATAGGAAAAAAATTGATCTTAAGATTTTTTTTTCATGACAGTTAGAATGGATGGATTTATTTAGTAAAAAACTTAAATCTATTCAAAATTATATATATATATATATATATATAATTCTAAAATTAATATTTTTTTATAAAAATTTGAAAGATTTTTATATTAAATAAAAATAGTAATTTTAAGATGTTAAAATTTTAAATTTAGTATTCAATAAATAGAATTGTTAGAGACAAGAACTTGATGAAAGTAA